ACTAAAATGTTCATGTCGATGAGTGACAACAACAGGCCTCAAGAACTCGTGAAAATTGGAAAATAACCTCTTGAATTCCCTAAACAAGTACACAAAGACAAAGTTCAGTCAAATATACCTAAAATTAGGGGCAACCTCCTTACTTACTGGAGAAAAAATTACTCATTTGGATGGACCAAATCCATTACATACTCCTCAGTTTCTTGCACTATCCCTCGGCAGAAAAAATTTCGTGAAAGAAATGTAAAGATGAGATTATGGCACATTACTTATGGAGATTTTCGGGGTGTTTATTGAGCTCCTCAAGGGCGACGGCGGCAAGAAAGAGGGTAGAGAGAGAGAGAGAGACGAGAATGGAAGAGGAGGAATAGAAGAAAAATGATTTAGGTTTTGTTTGGGATTAGGGCTAATGTTTTAATAATTACCTGATTTTTGAATAAGTAAACTATGTACCTGATTTTTCAAAAGCAATCTTTAAACACCTAATTTTTTGTAATTTCACTTTCTTTTTTTTTTCTTTTTTTTTATATATTATCCCGACTTGTAATCCGATCCTGGATCCGTCCATTTACCAGTGTTCAAAATTCATTCATTTTAACACAACTAACAGACACATGTATTAACGATTCATCCGAGAAAAGCAGCAGATGACGTCTAAACAGACTAAAAGTTCTCAACTTTATAATTTTATGATAATGCCTCGATGAGCAAATATTCGTTCAAAAGTGAAAATATAAACAGATTGACAACTTTTGAACCAGGAGTCTTTTACATTTAAAAGAAGCGACCATTGTTAGGAATTAAAATTTTAGAATTGCTAATAAACTAGACGTGATCCCTTGAATAGTTTTACTTTTAAATTGAGTTTATGACGTACCTAATTGGTAAATATAAACTACTTCATTTTTGGTGCCATTCAAGCTCAACCCAGTAAAAAGGAGCTCCTAGAACAACTGAATTTGGGTTCAAAAACCCATCAATAACACCACAGCTACACCAGAATTGATAAAGCAAGAAAGAACTCCGAAATAACTAAAGAATCTTCCACCACATAGAAACCTAACAAGGTTGTCATGCTAAGGGGCAGCTGACCTTAAATAAAGCCATATATTACGGTAAAACTCTATTAGAATTACATTAACTGCGAAGAATAAAACAAGCACGAACATTCGATTTACAAAGTTTTGAAGAAGGGATCCATGTCTTTCATACGATGCAGGCCTGGATCCTATGCTATCAGCAAGATTTCACCACCTGAACCTGACAAAATAAAGAAAAGAAGACACTATAAAATTAACATTCGTGAGAATAAAACATTATGAACGTGTTTGCGAAAGCTTAACGTGTTTACTTAAAGTAAATTTGCAAGTCTTGAAATAAATATTTTTTTTATTGCTTAATGTTAGAAATAGAAAATTACTTATTTTGATAGTAACGTAAGAGTTACTTTCAAACTAAGTAGCTTTCTACTTAAAAAAGTAAGTTGCTTTTTTTAAGCTTAGCCAAGCATGCTCATGGTTGTACATCAGGAAAAAGAAAAGCAAGGGGAATTACTTTGATCGAAAATATCAGCTGCAAACTGAAGCAGTGTGTCCATCTCTTCAGCCATCCTTGAGACCCTCTCCGCCTCCTTGACAGCTTCTGCTGCCACAAAAGATTTGTTTTCTGCTTCTGCAATTTTATAGGCAGCAGAAACTGCTGCTTCTTCCACTGTATCCCCGAGATGTCCAATGCTCTGTGCCTGTCTCGGTAGTGAATTCTGCTTTGTAGTAGGGGTTTTCATGGCAGGCACGAAATCTGTTTTCATTCTGAAGCAATTCTGTACCTGTTTTTCAAATTTTAAAATAAAGATTAGAATAGGAAAATATTTCTTTCCAATCTTAATTTTTGGATATCAACGGTTAATGTAACTCCCGACTTGAGACAACAAAAAGACCGAATAAATTTTTGAATCTCAAAGGGGCCTGAGAGAGCTCAAGTACAGCCAAAACCATTAGGAGGCATCATCCAACTGACCCAGAAAAATGGATAATTCGAACACAAAAGTTGATATTTGAGAAAAGAAACACGCGAGGACAAAAGGAGAAATTAAAAAAAGAAATCTCAACCAACTTATTTCAGGAAGGTCACTCAAAAGATGCAACTTTTGAAGTGTATTAAAAACAGAAAAAAGAGACGATTAGTTAAATTTTCAGTCACTACAAGCAGATTATCCAGGAGTTGCACAGCCATTGGCTATCATTTAAAGCATCAGCACAGTAGTAAAGAGGAACAAAAGGTGACGACAAGGTTATAGAAGGTTCTATACATAGAAGATACAGAAGGCTGATGTCCATTAATTCTTCGTAATACTTCAAACAACCACTTTCCATAGACCCAATTGTTCTAATCCAAAACTGTTACCATCTACAAATCAAACTTGTTGGGAGTTATTACTTAATTCAAATGAAGATCTTAACAGGCCTTACCTAGAATTATAGGAAATTTTATTGTTAGAAACAGCAGAGAACTGTCAAAAATGTTATTCAAGGCATAGATTCATCTAAAAGACTTTAATTAAAAAAATCACAGCAATAAACTGGAAACAGGTTGTACACTTTGGAACACTGAACAGGAAGTAATTAAAGTTGACCTGCAAACAAAGATGAACTGCATTGTGATATGACCCCAAGGGCAAAATGGACAGATCAAGCAAAAGGGCATAAATGGATATTCAAGCAAATTCACGTCAAGAACTTCGGCACCAATTCAGAATAAATAGGGGGTGGGGTGGGTCGAGATCTCATTTCAGGCATTGAATAATTGGAGAATTGTTGGGAGAGTCCAGGCATCTGAATGCCTTAGAATGTGTACTTCATTTTCTGTATAATTTCTGATCTTACTTCTTCAATTCACTACCTCTTATATGCAAAATACCAAAAATACAGTTTATGTCCTTCAATTACCAAGAAAATCAGAGGGTTCTGCCAAAATGGTATCAGAGAATCCATGGGAAATCAGGTCACATGGGGAAAAAGAATTAGAAGGTCGATTGGACAAGGTTGAAGAAATGATGGAGGTAATCAAAATTGAATTGCAATCAGGGTAAGCAGCGGTTCCTTTTTTTTCATTCACGTATAATTTCTGTTATTACTTCTTCAATTCAGTACTCATATATACAAAATACAAAAATACAGTTTATGTTCTTCAATTATTGAATTCTATTACCACCAAAATCAGACCTAAATGGTACCAAAGCAATCATTCTGGAAATTAGGTAAAAGAATTAGAAGGTCGATTGGACCACGTTGAAGAAAGGATGGAGGCAGTCAAAATTGAATTGCAGTCATGGTTAGAAACGGTGAGATCTAAATTTCGCTACGTACATGATGTGTTGGAGAAGAAAATGTCTTTGATTATGGACAAAATGAATTCTATGATGAATAAATGTTAGAATCAAGAACAGCAGAGGAAGGAGGAGTATCGCCAACCATGGGAAAGAAGTGGTGTGCCCTTGAAGATACTTACAGCGTCGGATAAGAGGGAGTCATTGGAGAACACTTTGGAATTGGAAGGGAATCTTTTTCATGTGCTACAACCAGAAAACTAGGGCTGAGGTTGTCGAGTTACAGCCAATGGATTAGCCCGAATAAGGGAGGACATCAATACTTCTCATAAGCATGCCCAGGTAATTCCCAGACCATTTCAGTTGAAAGCCCACAATAATTCTAATAACTCAAATCCTCCAACTTCAATTCCCACATCAGTCGGTAATTCATCTCTCAAACCCATCTCAACTCCCAAACCACAAAATTCCACCAAACAATTAAACGAGGCAGAGTTGCAATTTACAATAAAGTAGGAACTTTCTATCTGGTGAGATGAATTGATTGGACAGAACAAGGAATTGCAGAATTTGGTTATCAACAAAGTGGTGGGCAAAATCAACGGTTTCGAATTCAAAGCCGATGACTACAGTCGTAATCAGCCCCTTCAATCCATATACCCGCTCCAATTTATCCGTAACCACCTGATCCACATAACTCTTCAACCTGCAAGCCCCTCACCAATTGGGAGTTCCTGCTCAAGCGTGGAAAGGGGTTTTGCTGCCGATGCATAGGAAATAATTTGTCAGCCATTGTTGCAAGGGAAAAGAGCTTCCAGCCTAGGTGGTCAGCAATAATGTGGACGAATCAGGTTTAGCGGGAGCAAACGAAAGGGATGGGGCAGCCACAACCCAAATTCGTGAAAAGATAGAGCTAAGGGTCAGAAGAGAGTCAAATTACTGAGGAGAGAATCAAAGATCATGGTGTTTTAATAATGCAATTGCTCGATCAAAACATCAGTAGGTCAGCCGCTAATCCTACGCATCTATTACGTATATTTGATTATGACAGACCAGTAGAGCACACACTGCCTCCAGCCAAAATGTCATTACAGTTGCCTGATAGTCATTCTCAACATGTTGGATAAGCTCGAGATCAGTGCATTGCTTCATGAAATTGGTTTGGAGCTCGCTAACAAATTGTGTGTGGATCCCTTGTTTTCAGGTCCTATTATGGATTTAGAGTCCAGCAAAAATTACCAGTTCTTGAAGGACTAGTTGAGCCCTATGCGACATAAAATGAAAATGGAGGCACGTGCACACCGTCAAAAGGTGGATGTTGAAGTTGGCAAACTAGACTTTCAACTTGAGACAAGGTGAATTTTTGGACGTGGGATAATGATAGGACCCCAAGGGCAAAATGGACAGATCAAGTAAAAGGGCATATGTGGATATTGAAGCATATTCACACGGGAAAGTTTAGCACCAGCTCATGATAAATATGGGGTAGAGAGTTCATTTCGGACACTGAGTAATTGGAGAATTGTTGGGAGAGTCCAGGCCTCTCAAATGCCTTGGAATACGTAATTCATTTCTTTTAATTCTGTGTAATTTCTGTTCTTACCTTTTTAATTCAGTACTCATATATACACAAATTCAATACAAAAATACAGTTCATGTTTTTCAATTATTGAGTTTAATTACCATCAAAATCAGAGGGTTCTAACACTTGCAACATTCAATCTGCAAACTAGCACTGCACATCTATGTATACAGTAGAATAAATAACGGGTGATAATTGCTAAGATACAAAATTCACCTTTTCAAGTTTGTCCTGTTGCACAAGCCTTCTTAATCTAGAACTCAATAGCCTTTTGAAATTTTGGGGCACCTCATTTCTTCGCTGCATAAAATATCACCAAAAACTGAATAAAGAAATCTTTCCTTCAATTCAAGAAAAATAAGATGACCATGAAACATTGTTATAACACCGGATACTGAAAAATCAAACAACAATTTATTCACTATATCTACTGTATACAAGAACAATAACTTCAACCAAAACACTGACACTGTTTGATCAAAAATAAGCTTCAGCGTCTTCAAGTTTGCAAAAGTGCAAAGGAATCAAATTCCCAATGATATATGCCATATTTTCAAGTTATTAACTAACACTGTTATCAGCAATTTCCCGTAAAACCTCAACTTCCAATGCATGGTTCTACCATTATATTTCACAAGCAGTAGATGAGGTATTGCACAAATTGAAGGACTTGAAATTGAAAAATGCATAGAATTTTGATGTTTCAAATATTAGGTCTCCCTTAATGAAAGACCGCGATTACACTTGAAACAAATTTATAAAGAGGAGGCATGTTAGGCTATCAATTACGACATGTTTGACATGGCTTTTGAAAAGTCAAAAAATGCCTTTGAACTAAAAGTTGCTTTTAGACTCGTTTGGCTAATTTTATGAAAGTGCACCTTCTAATTGAAAGAGCTCTTAGAAAAAGTTGATCACATGTGACTCCTTCTAAAAGCACTTTCGGAATAGGAAGCTCTTTTAAAAATTAGTATCCAAAACAAAAATTAACGTACCTTTCTCTAAAAGCTCTTCTACAGAAAGCGAAAACAAAAGTAAAAGTCATGTCAAACGGGTCGGTCCTCAGTATCAAAAGGGAGATCAAACAAATAAATGTGCATTTTTTATAAAAATCACGTGAAAGGAAAAAATGCAGTACCAAAGAAAATCTTGGAGAAACTTCTATAATAATAATAATAAGTAGTTGGCTCCAAGCCATGCCCATCATGCGAATGTTTGTGCCAACACGGGTTTCCAGAATGAGAGAAAAAGGAAAAGAAATCACGTGTTTACTAAAGAAAATGGAAAAATAATCGTGTCTCTTTGTAAGGCCAATAAAACACATACAGTCAAAATCAAGACAAACATCAAGAGGATCCAATCCCCTTAAGAAACTTTCGCTATTGGGTTAGCCATACATTTCACACGTTTCTAGCGATTCACATGGCATCATCAAATGATTTTTCCTTTTAGAAGATAAATGAGCGAAACAATCAACCTATTGATATTCAGAAGACCCAATCGATTCTTCCAATTTATCATTTCTTTTTAGAAGTGCGAACAAAAGTATTTGTGACCGTCAAAACCTAGACTTATTACAAGGACATGTCAATGGCATAAGCAAGATGGTTAGGAAACATGAAGATAGTGGTAGTTACACAGCACAAGTAAAGGAAACAACTTCGATGCCCACTCAAACACTATGGCCCTGATAGAGTTCACTCCTAAAACAAAATTATTTCCCCTTCTCCCCACTCCCAATGTGACTTATCATTAAAAATGTAGAAATTAACTAATGATGTTATAACATTTCACCAGACCTCAATAAAATTAGCAATTGTATTAGAATCTGATCCATTTGGCTCCTTAAGGGTCGAAAGTGCTTCATATATCATTGCATTGTACCTGAAAAACAAAACATTGATGCCATTTATCAAAAAATAGATAAAAGAGACAATTAAATTAATTATAAATGTTAAAGAAAAAATAGAAACTAGGACAAAATCCTGCAGATGACATTAGAAGTTGCCAAGAATTTGAGGGTTTTTATCTTCTTTTTCTTTCCTCCTTTCCTTTCATGGATTTGACAATAGATGAGTTTTAGCTGTACTGACCAAAAGAAATAGAATTGATCCACCAAGTTTTGGATACAACCATTTTTGTCCACCTTCCTTTGACGAACAACAGTGCTCAACCTCGTCCAACCATACCATAATCACACTACCTTTGCCAAAGCTACTTAATGGACACCATACTGCAATCCTGTATCACCACTACCACATAACCACAACTGCTACAGCTATTTAACCCCCATAACCGTCAAAACAGTCCACCCACTCCTGCTATCACAAGCACCTCAACCACAAATATACATCTCAACTTCTTCTGCCACCAAGTTCACAGTGTCCACCCCCTCACTCAGCAACCAAAACATCCACATCCCTGATCTCCAGTCCCCCTTCCCCCATCCTTCAAATAAGAAAAACATGAAATATAGAGGGCCCACCTCTTTTTGTTCAGACGCTTCCCTACCAACCACCAATCTAGGCCTTTTAATATCAAATGCTAGGTCTACTCTCCGGTGATCTGTCTCCATCATATACTATCGTTTGATGGGAATAAGGTGGACTCCCTTAAGGATTTAACTTATGATTTAATAATTGAATTTCACTTTCTTTTCTCATATGTATCTCCGTGCCGTGAAACCACATTGATTGAGAACAGTTGATAAAATCATAACCCCAAGTAAAGGTGGAAACGTATGGTACAAATGTCATGATTTAGTTGTACCAATCTGGCGCCATATTTAGAAATTGTCATTGGAGGTAAAATTTTTGCCCCCAAACTTTAATGTTTCTCTTGGCTTACAGGGGGGAATTCGAAAAAGCACAAGCATTGTACGAAAACATAAAATACAGTTATGTTGTTTATGAAAAAAAATGATAATAAAACCGTCACTTCCATCACTGATTTAAGTCACTGTCCACCATTCTTAACTATGCCGCCTGTCAAAGGCTTTCATATCTTGAACATAAAGCTGCAAAAGATTCCGTTCAAAAGGAAACCTGAGCACACACTTTCACGGGACAACCATGTAGCTAGGGCGGAGCCCAATGAGGCCCAGTGTGGGCTGAACTTCTAGGCCCAACCCCATGGCCCAGAATTTTTTTTTTTTTTTATTAATATGCCAACTTCCAGCCCAAGAATAAAGCCCAAAACCATTACCAATACACACTACCCTAATGTAAACGGCCCAAGACCACTACACAGCCCAAGACATTTAATTCAAAACATCAGACTCGTAGCCTCCATTTCAATTCATTCTCCTCCGCCCCTGACTGCGTGAAGTTCCGCACCTGAGATGATTGGACACAGCTAGCTCTGGGATGATTGGACACGGATGGATGACAATACACAGTCGGACTTCTCAATCTCCGCCATTTCGCTTCGCCAATCGACTTCTCAACCTCTCACAAAGTCTCACCCGGCACCTCTTTCCTCCAATCTCAGAATCTATTGCAGCTACGCCCCTGTTTTCTAGCCCTGGGCGACAGTAGGCAAACGCGATAGACACCTTTGATTCCACATTTCCACGACGATTTGACGACTGTACAGTAGAAGACGAAGGGAAAGGCCCAGATGCCTACTCATTTTTCTTTTCTTTTTATTTGTTACTTTGATTTGTGTAATGTTTGAAATTTTTTTTTTCTTTTCTTTTTATTTGTTATTTTGATTTGTGTAATGTTTGAAATTTTACTTTTTATCATAAGAAATTAGCTCTTTGAATTGCTCTTGAATCGCTCTTGAATCGTTCTTGAAATTTGACCTAGAAGCCGGTGAAGACTGACCCGAGCCCAAAGTCTACTCATTGCTCTTGAGTTGCTTTAGCTTCTAGTTCCGGTATTGCCATCTCTGTGACTTGTGAAAACATTCTGTGAATTGCATTATGAATTGATTCCAGTATTGCTACGTGAATTGCGTTGTGAATTACTTTGCTTTTACTTCAAGTATTTGTGATTCTATCATTCTGAATTGCTTCCAATAATTGGAAGTTGTGAATTGCTCAGGGGATGAGATTAAATAATTAGAGCTTGGTGAACTTAATTGAGAGTATTTGACTTGATTTTACTTGATACTTGATTTGGGCTTAATTTGTTTTTGCTTTCATTATTAAGTTATTGTACAATGATATCAAAGTATGAAAACTCACAAAGAACAAATATAATTTATAAACTATATCATTTTTAATATTTTAGTAATATTGTTTTATATTTTTATAATCATTAAATTCATGATAAAGAACTCAAAGTTCGGGGTAGACTAAATTGTGCCCATAGTGAACCAATTTCCTGGCTGGCTGGCTCTGCCCCTGCATGTAGCTATGGCCTATGGTAGACGGAAACAGTGAGAGAAGTATAGTAAATGTTTGGACAAATGCTTAAACAGGGATTTTTTATTTTGATCAAATTCAGGAGTTCTAGAATTAGAACACAAAATTGCTCTTCCCACCATGCATTATATGTCGCAGAGCACTCACTAACAGTATCTAAACACTTATTCCAAATCTCCAATAGTAAGTAAATATTATACATCGGTGAAATCAATGACCACAGAACAAAACAAGACAAATACAAGAATTCACAATATATTATGAATATTCGACAATTGATCATCGTTGGATCTGTTCTGTTTTGATCATGACTTCCTTGTTGGAATCCAGTCCTTTGCAACTCCTTATAACTATATCGGATGCTGGAACCAGGATTGGATTGCTATTGACAAGCAACTGGAGTTCCAAATAATGTATCTAATCAAATTGAAAACGTTTGGTTTCAGTGCATTACCCTCGAAGCGTGTTTTAACAAAATCCTTGATCTAAATCACAACCGACGGCGTCAAAACTTCTTCAATATCCTTCCGAGAACTAATTGCACTAGCATATGGGCACTATATTAAAACAAGAATGCACATATGTCCTTGCAAGAACTAATTTCACTAGCATAAGGGCGATATAGTAAAACCAGAATGCACATATGAAATTTTGAATTGAGAGAAAAAAAAATAAACTCTCTCTCTCTCTCCACCCCCCCACCCACCACAATACGGAATCAATGTTACTGGAGAGATTGAGAAAAAAAAATAGTAAATTATTTTTGTCATCTCAATTCAAAATAAATCATGTGTATTGATATAGCACCAACACGCTAGTGCAGTTTGTTCTTGAAGGACATCGAAGAAAGTTTGAGGCTATAGGTTCCAATGTAGATCAAGAATTTTGCTAAAGCATACTTCGAGGGTAAGGCACAAAAACTCCAATGTGTTTAATTCGATTATACAATGTTTTGAAGTCCTGTTGCATGTCAATGGCAATCCGATCCTAGTTTTTCCTTATTCCGGCATCCCATATCCTTATTTGGAGGTGCATACAACCAGATTACAACATCTCTGCGCAAAACTTTCTGCCTATTCCCAAGGTTTGCAGTATAAACAACTTATTGACCCAGAAAAAGAACAAAAAAAAATATTTTTTCACTTCTGTTAAGCTTTCATTTAGTTTTTTATTTCAAGATTAAGCAAAAAACCATCGTCTAAAAGATCACCGCAGAAAGATAGCACTTCCTAGTAAGATAAACATGTAATGTACAATATCTAGCAGCAAAGGAAAAATGATTTACCTTGATGCATTATTCCCTTCTGGAAAGAGCCTAGAAGAATCTTCCATAACTACATCTGTTGATGCATTCTGTGACATTGGAGTAATAGAAATCGGGGTATGTGCATTGGGCAACAGAATAGTAGGAGTATCAACAGGACTGGCCTTTCCCTTGGTTGTCTTTGATTTATCTCTCGACCCTAGGCCATTGGCAACACTTAAATTCCGCCATTTATCCTATTAAAGCAAAACAGCACCATAGTCAGCCTTGCATTATTTTTTCGTTCTTCTGTTTATTAAGGGCATGGTTTAGGCTTGGTCAGTGATTCAGGATGGTAAAGACCAAAAAATTCTGTCAATTTCAAATTCACCCCATGAACACAATGTGGAAAATGGTCATCAACTTATCTTACACACGATATAACAGCAAATGCGTTGGAAGCTGAAGACAAAAGTTGTATTTCCAATTAAATCAATGTATGCTGAGATGATACTCTCTGAAACGATGAACATTATGCTTCCTGAAATTTGATTTAATGTTGCATATCTCGACTGAAACTACATATTCGGAAAAATTGATTTTCAATTTTGTCAGAATAATTCGAGTGTTTGTCGACCAGGATCAACCCAGACTGCCCAATAACAATTAACAAGCAACAATAAACAAAGTACGAATACAAGTAACTTGTTATAATTTGTGCGCTTGTTTTAATTTTTTACATAATAATATACACAGAGTCATAGAGTTACGTATATATAAATATAATTTTCGTACATACGTAGGCATATGTTTATAATTATAGTGACCTTGAGATCAATGTTGGAACGAGAAAAGAGGAGGTGGTTGAACTCGGGGTCTCTTTGAATGTTCTTCCACTTTCCGGCACCGTGTTTGGCAACGCCGGCGCGCAGGGCTTCTTCTTCCTCAGAAGTCCACTTCTGCTTTGGATTCCCCATCGCTTTGCCAATTCCACAACTAATCTCCGCCGCTGCTCAAATTCTGTGAATCCTCCAGTAGTTTTCTTTGGAAAAGTTTGGAATTTGACTATATAACAAGCACTGCGGCGCCGTTACTAGTAAGGATTATTTGGCTAAGCCTAATTTAGTTCATATTACTTTTTTCAGATAGATTTAAAAAAATTATTTCGAAAGTAAGTCCTTATTTTGAAGAACAAAAATTTGGGAGAAATGCTATTTATCCCCATTGGGAAATCTCCAATTTATGTGGCGTTAATATGACATTAAATGATAGGTGATTTAATTTCACTTATCATTTAACCAATCATTTATATTCACATAGATTGAGGATGCATTCTCACTGGGGATGAATAGTATTTTTCAAAATTCTTTTTTCTAACTGCTTATTAGTTATTTCTATCACCCAATAAAATATTTTGTACGTAAATTTAAAATTATTTCATATTTTTTAATCACACATTCCCCTAAAAATACTATTTAAAACTTTAATTTTTTCAAATAATAGTTGTGGCTAATTTTTGCCTTTTGCTTTATTATCTACAGACTACAGTTTTAAGTATTCAAATTAGTTGTTTATTTAGAACTCCCTTTTAAGAGACCAAATTTATAAAGACTATTTTATATATAATAAATATGGAGCATCTTTAAGTCTCCGTTTGTCTATCATTATTTAATAAAAATAAGTTTTGAATAATATGTTTTTGGAGAATGTGTGATTAAAAAAAATTGAATTACGTACAAAATATTTTATTATAAGAATATGCGGTTGAAAATGAATTTGAGAGGGAAAAAAAAGAGTTTTAAAATAACAGTAGACAAATAGGGTCTAAATTTAGAGAGTAATTTTTTTATACACTCCATCAATACTCTCTATTTTGACTCTTTATTTTGTTTTTTCCAATGAACATTTATTGATCTCTTCTTATTTCTTATTTAACATAATTTTTTTTATATGAATATGGCCAATAAACTCAAGTGTGATTTAAATCGTAGAGTATTAAATTTTTTAATTTATTAAATGTAATCATTGCTGATTAAAAATAGAGAGCCAAACCCATTATTTATTTTAAAAATTTTTAATAAAAAATATCTTGGAATATATTGTTTTGACCATACATTTGATGATATACATATATTTATTTGAATGTTAAATTTTACTTTTAACCAATGTCCTAGAAACTACAGAGGTAATTTGCACAATACCTCATTTGCCTATCTTCTGGAATCACCAATACATTGCATAATAAAATATTGTCTTTTTTTCTTTTTTCGATCCAAAAATATTGTCATTTTTCCTTCTAAAATGACGATTTTACCTTCTTCTTTAAACAAAATAAAGAAGGAAAAAGTACACAATTAACTGCATCCATAATTTCAAAATTTTCAAAATGCTCAAAAGAGTTCTAATTAAAAAACATTTATCTTCTCCACATCCTATCCATCTGCACCACCACCACCTATTATTGCTAAATTATTATCATAAACTCTTGCAATAAAAAATATATATTACTATTATCATGTTCGTCCTCTTCTTCTTGTACACTTCGTAACTATTGTATCAGAAAGAGATAAATAGTAGCCATGTCTGACTTTGTTAACATTGACCTTGACTTTGATGATTTCAAGTCCTTAAATCCCACTAAAGAACACCCTATACGACGACCTTTTTTAGGCCACTCGTGCTAACGATGTCAATCTCCCCGGTTATCTTCTCGATTTCGGCCTCAACGTCAATGCTTGTGATTAATAGGACTTTGGTGCTTTATATTATGCATGTCTGACGCCTCATTTAAATGCTGCAAGCATGTCTCTGGAGAACAGCATTATCTATTCCATGCACACTTTCGATGGCAACCTCTACCATTATGCCTCCTCAATTTGAACATGTGAAAATTGCTCAAGGCGTATGAGTGTCAACTGTCACCTCTCGGACCCTTGCAGGCCTCGTTAAGGAACGCCTTCTTGTCCTGCAGTCTGCATAGCTAATTCGACCTAGTTGGATCAATCGAATGCCCAATTGCCTATTCCTCCTTTTTTAGGTTTTTGATTTTGGTGTTATTACTGTAATCCATTCTAATTCTATTTTTTTCTTGGTTGAGTGATAATTCTATGTTGCTCTCTGAGACTTTTCCCATCATTTTAATGATGTTAGTCATTCTGACTACATGGAAAGAAATGAAAGTTCATTTTTTTGTATGAGTTGGAATTGGTGGTGGGGCAGAGAGATGTGATTTGAAGAAGTGAAATGTTTTTAAAAAAATGGATCATTCCTTCTTTGGGGAGAGCCAATTAAAGAATTTCATTATATCCCTTCTAAGCTTAGGACCCGTTTGCACTTTTTGAACGTTTTGTAATTAGGGATGCAAATAATTCTTTATTTTTTCCTTCATTTCTTTTCTTTTTTTTTTTTAATTTAAAGAATGAGGTAAATTCATCATTTTACAAGGAAAAATGACGAAAAATATTGTATTCTGCAATATTTTGGTGATTAGAGGATTTGCATCGAAATTAAAGGCTGGAGGGCAATTTTGCCAATTTTCATCCCACAAAACGAAAGTATTGTATTTATTACCGTTGGTGGAATATTGAATATTGTATTTATTACCATTGAAGGAGCATCAATATTCAGGAAAAATATTGTATGATCATGATCATCATCTATATTTCACATTTTATGGTGCTCCTGCAGATGTACAATTTTATCATATCAATATTTAAAAAGAATATTGTATTATTTTTTGCAAGTAACGACTTTAAAATATCAAGAATTGCATTATTAATTATGAAAAAGTATATTTTTATACTCTATCAAAATTTTACAGGAATATTGAGTTGTTATTCTTGAAAAAAAAACTTCATATTTTGTCAATATTCGAGTAGAATATTGTATTGTTTCTCGTGAAGGGCATCACTTCATAAATTTCAATATTCTTTAAAAATATTATATAGCTCATATTTGGTACTCATTCTTTCAAAATATATTCTTTTAAAACTTATTTTCAACCACACATTTTTTAATAAAATAATATTTTTCATTATATCAATAATTTTTTCTTACTTTTTAACCACATATTTTTCATCATATCACTATTTAAAATATATTAATTTCTCAATAATATCCATCAAACATACCCTGAAAATTATTTATCTATTTATATTTAATTCATTTTCAACCACACATTTTTCAATAAAATAATATTTTGCATCACATCAATAATTTTTCCTTACTTTTTAACCACATATTTTTCATCATATCACTATTTAAAATATATTTTTTCCTCAATAATATTCATCAAACACACACATAGTTGTTTTTATTGAATAAAGCACAATGTTGTATCTATTTAATATTCGAGAAGGATACTGTGTTATATCTTTTTAAGAGAAACGACTTTATATAGATTAACATTCGGTATTATGTTTATATTCTTAAAGAAGTATAATTGTATATAAACAAATATTTTAAAAGCATAGTATTTTTTGTTTTCGGAGAAACATACACTAAGCCCCTGTTTAATGTGGATTAAAATTATATTTTTAGCATATTTTGATAAAAATTGATGAAATGTGTGGTTTAAAAGTGATGTGTATAATGAAATGTGTGGTTTAAATTAATTGTTAAATTTAATTTTGAAAAAAAAAACTAGATTTTATTTCCTATGAAAAATGGACTAAGTATATAAATATTTGTGAAGAATATAAATATATTGTAAATATGCAATTGGTTTATTGTTGAATTTTAATTGTAATTTCAAATATTTATTCTGGCTATTTTTTTAGACTTAGTGGTTTTACAACAATAAATTATAAATTTAAAAGAAATAGGGAACTGGATTATATGCAGGTTGTTTGCAATTCATATAGATACATTATTCTTTTTTATTTTCTTAATTTTACAAATATTGTGTTAGTCTTAAAGATCAACTTTATACGGGTCTAAGTCTGATAATTTTTTTAACTTTTATGTAAATATTAAGTAATTATTTCTAAGCACGACTTTATACTTACGATTATTTTATTAGAATTTATGATATTCGTGAAGAACCACAATTCTTTTATTTATTAATACATAAAAAAAAAATTGTGCTTCATGAGAAGCGTAAATTTTATATATTGATATATCATAATGTTGAATCTTTATCTTTAAATACAACAATTTTTTAAGAATAATATCTTATATAATTCCGTGAAAAATATATCTAAAAGCAGATTTTGTAATATATCATCGAAGAAAATTAGGTCTAAATATCGAGTGGGTCAGTCCAGATATTTTAATACCTGGAACCACCCATAACACTCCAAGTACTTTATAAATGGAACCATTCGAGTCAATATAATTAATGTACCAAAGTCAATTTGAACTGTCGCTTCTGGTTCAACTCTACCCATTATATTTTTTTAAAAAAATCGTTAGCTGATAATAAAAATTATCTTTCGTTTGTCATCAAATATAGAAAAATAAAATATACAACTAAATACCTATTTTAACACCACCTTAATCCATTTCAAATATGTCACCAATCACCATATAATATCTAGCATAAAGCTTCAAATTCCTATTGTGGCTCAGCATAAAGTGCCTCAAGAAAGATTTGTGGGAAAAACAACACGTAAAGTACGGTCAGGAGTGGTTAAAAACAAAAGGGATACGATTAAATTATTCAAATAAATGAATCCGTTTGTTTATGGTACTTACTATTTAAACCTTACAAACTTGCTCAAGGTGAACAAATCGAAAAATAAAAATTTACAAAACTGTCAAATTCCAGTTCCAATATCTTATACCAATGGTGGATCAAAAACCAAGAACCCTCTTGGGCAAAGTCGATTCTTACTTTTGGTTTCTATTTTTTTTTAATTGGACTAAAACATCCAGTTAGAATTAAAAAGACCATCCCTAATCAGATCAACCCTTGTTCCTTCTTATCATAGACAAATTTGCACGAAATATGCCATTTTGCATATTTCAAAGAGCAAAA